GTAAAAGTTGCTTCCCACGCCTTGGTGTCCTGTCTCTTTGTCTGGGTTCCCTGCAACAAGACAAGATGATTTTCAATTCCATTCTTGACCAGGAAGCAGTGTTTCTAAATTTTTCAACACTTGGGGGAGAAATGAATTCCCATTTCCCCCTCTCTTCTTGTCCCTTGTTAACCTAAAAATAAAATGTCAAAATGAGAGGCAACAAGCATTTATTTGAGATCCAAAAAATAGCTATTTGGGAAGCACTGATCAGGCAGAAACCTAAATAATTTTCCTATTAGGGGGTGAAGTCAAAGGGGTTTTATGTGAAAGGGAAGAAAAATAATTACAAGAATAGAAAGGAGAAGTTTCTGTTGATGTTAATAAATCAAGGAGGGAATTTCTGTAGGTGCAATTAAAGTAAGTTATTCTTTAGCTATGCATGATGGTGCTAATTCTAAAGAATTTCTTCAATTTTCAGTCCAGCAGTGAGAATTTCTGCTTTTCTGTTAGCTTTGCAAATTGTTGTTTGGCATACAATGTTGCTTTATGCCCAGTCAAATGTTATTTTAACATTCCAAAGGTTTGAGGAGTAAGACATGCAAGGAAGTCTCTCTGGGAAGGTAACACCAATTCTATTTTGAAGTGGATCCATTTATATTATTTTACACCCTCCTTGCTGTAAACCAGTGTTAAAATAAATTTTTAGCACCAAGGTGAAAGCCCTTCTGCCCAGGAAGCCACATCAGCAAACCGAAACTTACATAACTCTTGTGTCCCCATAAATGCTCTGCATGATCAGAAACACAGTATATCCAGTCAACCAATCCCCAAATATCAAACCAAGTCTGGGTCTTCTCACCCCAAACAAGGTTGACTATGTGAACCCAGCCAATTAAGTATTTTCAGTTTTTCTGTTTCTTGGTTTTTGTTCTTTATTCTTTGTACTATGAATGCTTCATGAAGTATTAAATAAGGTTTTTTTTCTATCGTCTAACTTGTTTTCTTTAATCATTTTCTTAACACCAGATAACTCTCTTTGAAGGGCCGATTTTCCATTTTATTTCTTCTGTATCTTATCCTAAGTTGACTTTTGGGAAGTGTGGAAAAGGGAAAACTCCCCCCTTCTCCTCTTGGTTCTTATGGCTGGAGTTGCTGAAGCCCAACAATTAAGTTTGTCTGCCTGTGTGATTCAGCCAAAAAATGCACGTGCGTGGGTTTGCAGTACAGAAAGGAATTAGTTTATTAAAATTGGCCAATCTGGACACAGGCAAGCTTGTGTTCTCAAAGACCCAACTCATCGATGGTACATAGGTTACAGATCATATAAGGCAAAATCGCAAGACACCGTGGGTTAGGAGTTTGGGGTCATGTTAGGAGCTGATTGGTCAGAAGTGAGATAAGTATAATAAACCATTTTTTTTTAGGTTTTGAGGTCAATCCCAGTGTCCAGAACAGTTTCAAGGAGAGGTAACCAAGGGAGTCGTCCACGCAGAGGGCTCTGGAGCTGAAACATAAATTAAAATGTTATCCTTAGCCTGCCAGGGGCTTAAACCTTGACCATTAGTCAGATCCAGGTTATTGTCTTCTGCTGCCTCAGAGGCCAACAATCACCAAGGTGAGAGACTAAGTTTAGGTCAGTGAAGTGTGCTGAGAGAGAAAAGAAGGAAACAAATAATTGTTTAAAACTACAGTTTACATCAACTCAGAATAATGAGGACCTTTGGTTTCACTGGTCAAATGATTAAAATAACATAAGGCAAGATTAACAGGAGAAAATCAAAATTTAATACTAACACATGGGGAATGCCCATAAGCATGAGGCCCTCCAGACAGTAAGGCAAAATGAGGTATGTATGCCATTCTGGTCTAAGTGAAAGGAGGTCGGGGGTCTGGGAGTTCAGAGGGTAGTAAGACAATTCACAGGGAGAAAAGAGTTAATGTTTAAGAAACAAATATTTCCTGGGCCATCTGAGATCATGGATTACAGAGAGGACTTTGATCAAACCTTGCCAGGTTCCTTTCTTGTTTATGACACCTAGTTTGTATTATCTATGGTTATCTATATGATGGTTCATTCCTGGATCAGACCTTTTATCTTAAATTCTTTTAGGCAGTTAGGTCAAAGGTTCTTCCTGAGCCTTCTGGTTCTTAAAAATAACCAGCTTAAGATAATCAATATCCCAAAGAGGCATATTTTGGGATGGCAAAGTCTGCTCCCCTTCAGAAGTTAACCATTTTTTTATGCACTATTTACTTCCCTAAGCATCATGTACCATATATGAATCTCCTACTATGTTCCAAGCGCTTCCACTTGTTTTGTACAATCCCCAGATTGCAAGCTTTATGAAGGTTTTAGAGTTAAGAAAATGGAAGCTCACAGAACTCAAGTCTTTTGTGAGGCTCACTCTGCCAGTCACAGCATTTGACTCCAGGCTTGTCTGTCTTCAAAGTTCAGTCCTTTCCCCCATGCTACACTTGGGAAGAGAGGGATCCACATCTTTCAACTTTTGAACCCCATCTTCCTCACCCTCCGCAGCGGATGCTGGGTGGTGGAGTGAGCATTGCTTTTGTTCTAGCCTTGGTTGCATTCTAAAGTGTGACTTCAGGCAGGTCTCCTACCCCTACCACACCGTTGTACCGATTTTTCGGTAATTTCTAATCATATCTTATCTAATCATATCTGTGTTGTGTGCATGGAAAAGCACTCCAGGTACAACAAGCAAAATCCTGGAGTGTCTTACAAAGACAATCCATGCAAGAAGGTGAAGAGCAACATCTGGTGCTCACTTTGCAAGAAGTACCTCTGTGTGAAACGAGGCTCATCCTGCTGGGTGGATTGGCACACAAAGGTGGAATATTGGCGCTAGATGAAAGGTAGACCTATTTTCTACGATGTCTCCAAGTTCCATCTTATTCTAACCACTTGTTTGCATGTAACTAACATGTTTCTGTATCATGTTGGTTTTTTTCTCTTTAATGCTCAGGAGCCCAGGCATAGGGGACAGTTAGGTTCAGGGCCTCAGGTCTGGTAGGGCTACTTTCTCTTGGTTTCAGTTTCAACATCCATAAACTGGATATAAGTACTTCATACCAGTTTGCCTCCTAGGTGTTATATGAGAACAAAAGTTTGCTTTACATGAAAGCAACTGGCCCCAAGCAGGGCTTTGTGGGGCAGGATTCTGAGGGAAATTAAGAAAGACTTAGGAGACTCACCTATTGTTGGGAGGTTCAGGCAGGTACAAAATGCTAGTGGGATCTCAATGATGCATTTTCTCCAGTGGAGTCAAGCAAATACCTGAGGCCTCAACCAGAGAGGCTATGATCTCAGTTTAAGGAATACGATAAATTAGTGGGGTTTTTTTTTGTTTTTTTTTTCCCCAGTTAAAAATAATGAGGGACTTCACACTCTTACCTAAAGACTCACCTGGCTTTGGGCTGAAGAAGAGAGAACTGTGCATCTCAGAGAACTGTCAATGAAAAAAGCATCCAGCTTAGGAGAAAGCTTATAAAAGTTTATTTGAGCCAAACTGATGACAATTGCCAGGAAGCAAAATCTCAACAGATTGAAAAAAACGCTCTGCAAAATGGCAACTTGCAGCTTATTTTATACATAGACTCAAAGGAGGAGGGTTACATGAAATTCACTGGTGATAGATTAAGGGAGTAGGAGAAACCTCTGGGATTAGACAAAAGTAAATTGGAAACACAGGTACTTCTACATAGATGGGTGCAGGATAGTTAATAGTTTGCTTTTTACAGCTCATAGGGATGGTGATCAGGGAACAAGAATAATAATGAAGGATTCTGTAGTTTCCTGCTCTGGTTCAGAAAAAGGGATTTCTAACATTCTAAGGGTGTTATCTTATGTGCAAAAAGGCAATACACAGGCTCACTTGTGACTTCCTGCCATGGCCCACCTTAATTATGAATTTTCACACCATCATATGTGGTTATTTTCAGTTTCCTGAGTTTGCCAGGTTTAACATGTGGCCCCTTTTCTGTCCTCAGAATAAAATATTAAAATTTTGACTAAAGGCAGAATTGATATTACTATCTCCAATCTGGCTTGGCTTGGCCTGGCAGTTTTTATTTAAAATTTTGATATTTTGTCCATCATGGATTTTTTGCATTAGTTTTGATTTTTAAAAAAAATATTGCATAAAAATATTATTTTCATAGATAGCTGAATTTTTGCAGCCCCCTTAAATTTTGTGTTGTGGTGAGGGCCTCCTAACTTGTTTCACCCTGGGCCTGAAAGTGTCACATCTGAAGTGGCAGCAGTGTGGGTCACACAAATACTTAGCTGGCAGTGGACAAGTTTAAAGCCCTGACTTCCACTCTGTCTCCATTGCAAATTGTTCTCCTAGTGCTACTATAGGCATGCCCCCAACCCCTGTCACCTTTGTGGGAGTTAGAAAAAAAAAAACACCTCTTCTAAAGACTGATTTTATTTTTTAAAAGATGCTTTATTTCCCCCTCCCCCCTCCCCCCACATCTCCAGGAAACTGTAGTAATAAATAAAGGCAATTATAACATTTATCATGTAAATGGCACTCCCTCAGGCACAATGCTTCAGGCAGGGCACACATATAATGGAAGCAGAATGTATCACCCCAAAATATTCCTCTTTGGCATAAGGATTATTTTGAGCTCATTATTTTTAAGAAATAGCAGACAAGCAAAAGCTCTGAAAATAAGCAGATGTTACCCTTTTGTAGGAGACATTTACATTTATAAGGGAGATCTCTATTTGTAAGGGGGTCTTCCTCTTTGGACCAGGAAGAGCAGGATGAGTAAATCTCTAGAAACTTCCTATCATTGAATAAGATGACAACTTAAATCTGCATAACAGCCTTACCCTCAGTTACTGTTCTTGCTAATAACCTCCCATGACTGCCCCCAACCCCAGCATCTTCTTTTGTCTTTAGCTAGAGATGATATTTAAGGTGGTAGCTTGGGCCATTTCATGGAGTTCCTCAGTTTTCCTGGGTATCTCCTGTGTATACATGTTATTAAACTTGTTTGTTTTACTCCTGTTTTTTTGTCTTTTCATTACAGGGGTGTCTCAGCCAAGAATCTAGAAGGGTAGAGGGAAAATTTTTTTTTCTCTTCACCTGCACAGCTCCACGTGGAGACCAGCACGGCTCTCCTCCAGGCTCCTTAGAGTTAACAAACTGTCTCCTACTTCCCACTTTCATTTCCTCTTGAATCAGGTTCAGGCTGTTCTTTTGGTCCCCTCCTTAGTTTTTTCTTGAAGGTTTATTATCTGTTGCCTTGACCCTCTTATATATGAAGGTCTTTTTTGTTTGTTTGTTTTTGTTTTTTTCCTGATAATGTCCCTTTTCGCAAATTTTAACACACATTTCTGCACCTTACTTCTGATTCAGTTAATTGGGGTTTCAATAAATATTGGTTGAGTGATTTAAATAAATTTAAAGGTTTGCAAGTGACCACACCCTCTCCCCAAGTCTCCTGTAATAATTTCAAGTGTGTCTTCAGGCTCAGTTTCTCCATTGAGAAGGGCTCTGTTCAGGCCTCAGACCTGGGCTTCTCATTTGCAGCACAAAAGTGTAAATGAAACTGAGTCAGTGGTCCTTATCCTTGGGTCAGGCACACTTCTGAGTTTCCATCCAGTCAAACCGAGTCTTCGACCTGGCTTTTCTGTCCTTGTGCACTTTGTCGCCCAAGTCCTGTGGGTCCACAACTGACTCCCTGGGTGTTAGGAATCTGTGGTCAGATCTGATGTGACTGACCAAAATCAGTGTAAGTTCATCACAGTGCCAGACACATAGTTAATAGATTGATTAATAAATCCATTTCTGGCTGCTGGATCTGCTTCTGCTGAGAACATCTGCTCTTCCTATCTTTTTGCCCTCTTGGCAACCAGACCTTTGGTATATTCCTGACTTCCGAGGCCTGGGTTGGAGCCATCATTCATTGGTGTGACCCTGCACTTACATTTCAACAGAGACACTTCTAAGCCCCTTGCTTGAGGTTGGCTGATATATTCGCAGTAACATTTCTAGGAAGACATATTTATTCTGGGTTTGAGGAGATTTCTCAGCAGTGGATAGAATTAGTAACTCATAAATCTGAAGGATATAACAGATAGTTTTTCTGGAAGGAAGTCGATGTTCATTCTCCCTTGATATTTTTGGTCACATCAGTAAATTTTTTTGACTGTTTCTTTGGGGATGAGACAGGAAAGAGAACACTGCTGTTTAGATGACATTCTCATCTGCAAATAACCTTGGTGTGTCTGGTGATGTGGGCAGTGGGTGGGGTTTTTCCATCTGTTGAGTAGACACAAAAAGTCATAGTGTTAAGGAGGACAGGGCTCTGAATCCCTCTTAGGTGACCCCTTGATCCCAGACACTCTTGTTTTATTTTTTTTAGCTGAGCCATCATGCCACCTTTTGGCAGCTCAGCAGCAGCTCAGCTCGAGCCGGGCATCGAACCGCTGTTGCTCAGAGCTCAAACTCTCGAGCGAGCTCTTAACCAACTGAGCCACTTGGCCAGCCACGATCCCAGACACTCTTAATTGCCAAGGTTTCTCAACCTGAGCCTCCCGCTGTGCTTGCTCCCACTGTTTAATCATTCTGACTTTTGAGAAACTATGCCTTAAGGTTAATCCACATTTCTCTTGTTGAATGCTTAGTGAGCCGAATTTCCCTTCCAATAATCTATCAAAACCAGTATTTCCTATTACTAAGCAAACTGCTTTACCCATCCTCATCTTTTCTAATCTGGTTGGGAGGCGAGAAAAGAGGCATCACTGCTTCTGCCAAGTGTGGTCTGTGAATGAACATACTTTAAAAGTTACTACCTTAGTAGTTAGACTTGGGAAAGTGTGCAAACTAGATGTAACCTAACTAGACCACAGTAAAGAAAAAGAAATCTCTGCTGCCTCCAGTTTACTGTGGATCAGAAGCAAGCTGGAGTCCCTTCACAGCTGTTCGTCTCCTCCCAAGCACAGCCTAACCATGGCCTTTCCCCAATTCATGCCCTCAGTCAGGATCCTACCTAGAACCTCTCTGCTACTGTTTGTTCCACATTAACCCCATTTGACTCCTAAAATGCAATTCTCTTCTAGTCTCTATATCCTTCTGTAACTGTAAGCAAAGGGAATGAAGATGTCTTTGTAATACCAGGCCAGGGAATATGAGATCCCTGGGGCCCCCAACATTTTAAGCTAAGCTTGAACTAAGAAAAGCAACAGGACAACTAAAATGAAGCACAGTTCTAACACTCCTTACCTTTTCAGGTATTTGTACCATGGAATAAAGCGTATTTACTGAATTTTCCTCTGGAATAGCTTTCTATTGAAAGAACAAAACAAAATGAAACAAATCATCATTCACCTGCTGAGTCACAGAGACAAGGCAAAAGAAATGCCCAGGATCCAGACAAAGGAAAGCAGAGACAGGAGGAGACAGTGAGGGGGGTAGAGCGTTCCAAAACAGGAATGGGTGCTGGGGAGCTTTCTTGCTAGTGACTGTTACTAAAATTATTAGTAACTTCTTTTAAAGACACAATTCCACTATTTTAAAACTATGTTGTGTTGAAATTAATTAAAAACATATAAGATATCTAAGTCCCATGAGCTATGAGCCCCCTAAGATAATTAAAGGATAATTTGAAGTAATATTGCTAATGTTGCAAATAAACCTTTCCATCAGTCAAAAGGGCCCTTAGAGGAAACCAGAATGATGATGGGGCAGAATAAAAGAAAACAACGATTATAGCAACAACGAAAGCTCCTTCCAGGCTGGAGAAAAATATCCTGGGTTAATGACGTTTATTCCTGAACATCCAGGACAGTCCTGTTGTCTTTTGGGAATGTGTCTTGAGCAGGGGAAGAGGGAGCAGAAAGTGATCAATTTTGACAGAGCCCAGACTGAGTCGCACACAGAGCACTCTCCCTGTGCAAAAGAAGGCGCTCTCAGGACACTAACATCTTCAAAGAGGAAACGTAATGTCTCCTCTTGGAAAAGTTGTAGGCGAGAGTAGGTAAGAGAAGGAAGATGCAACCTGATTGGAAGATACCAAAAGCTGGAGTAAAATGGATTTTGAGGCTCCACAGTGTTCTTATTTTTTCATTAAATAAACCAATGAGGAAAAGCGGTCTATGACCTGTAAGGAACTAGTCCAGCCTGGGCTACAATGATTGTTCCTGGGGGGGACATTTGAAGTTGTCTACAGAGTTTGTGTCTCCAACTTGGGTTTCTTATTATTTGGGTTTCTTTAAACTTTATTCTTATACTCTTCAAAGAGTTTCCATTGGATGAACCTTGTGTTCATTCACTTCATCTTAGTAACCAATACTTGGGTAGCCTTGAGTATGGCCCAGAGCCACTGTGGAGCCCTCTAAGTCCTCTCTGATGGCTTCTTATGTTGCCTCAGAGGAAAATGCATTTCTAAAGCCAGTCTACTGACAGTATAACTCAAATATCATGTCAAAGGTACACTTCTCTACCTGTTGTCCTGTGCAAAAGGAATCAGGCCTGTTGAGTGGTTACTGTGAAATGTGGAGGAAAGGGGGCAATTCTATAGATCACAGTATGAGCCTTACTGGTTGGGTCAAAATCAGGTACTCTCGAGGCCACCAACTCCTCCATAAGAAAGAATCCATAAAGACTTGGGGGAGACACAGCTGCTTTGGGTTTCAAGAGCTATACATTCCTTAGTTGGAGGACTCTCCCTGCTTCAGGTTTATCAACAGCGTGAATCAAGAGAAGCTAGCCAAACTTCAGGCTCAGGTTTCAGATAGGGAGCAAGGGTACAGCTCACAGAAAGAAGGTGGTACAATAACTACAGCTGATGACAAAAAACTTCAGAGTTCTCTAAAAAAACTGGCTGCAAACAATATAGCTGATATTGAAGAAGTAAACATGACTAAAGATGATGGGACAGTTATTCATTTCAACAATTCCAAAGTCCAAGCTTCCTTTTCTGCTAAAACCTGTGCAATTACCAGTCATACAGAAACCAAACCAATCACAAAAATGCTTCTGGGAATATTAAGTCAACTTGGTCAACAGCTTAACGAGTCTTAGGAAGTTAGCTGAATAGTTCCCTCGGCAAGTGTCGGATAGCAAAGCACCAAAACCAGAATATATTGACTAAAGGGATGATGATACTCTAGATCTCACAGAAAATTTTGATGAGGCATCAAAAATGAAGCTAACCAAAATATCTTTTGGTTTTTGGAAGCTGGCATTGACGAGATTTAATGGAGCAGCTATGTGGTTCCAAAGTTTTACAGACATGAAGAACATCAACTGTTACTAGTTCAGTAATGTAAATATTTTGTATATTAATAATGCTGTTTGTTCAGAATTTTTTAGTCATTTGATTTTGTATTTTGCACTTCCTCCCAGGATCTATTCTTTTGGTCAAAATGTGAAGTATTGGTGCAGTTTGAAGGAAAAAAAAAAGAGCTATACATCCTCATCTTCCATGTTGTCCAAATCTGTGAAAAAAATCTCAAGTAATATAAGAAGGGCCTCAGAGAGGAGGATCAGGCACCAGGAAAAATGGGAATGGACTCACATTAAGGTTAGAGATTGTGTCATACTCTGAGGTCGTTCCAGAAGGGGGATGGTAGTTAAGAACTTCCTGATGAGTGTCCATTCTCTTCTTCTCTTTAATGGTCCCTGCAACCAAGTTGGGAGAGAATCAGAACTGGCCTTTTTATCCACTCACCACCCAATTGGCTCACCACCCCATCTAACAACCTACTTAGGGTGAACAACCATTCTTGTTTCACTATAACTAAAGGGTTTTCCAGGACATGAGACTTTTAGTGCTAAACCTAGGAAAATCCCAGGATGAGCTGGTTACCCTCATCACTTTACTTCCCAGTCTCTGGACCAAGCAGCCAAAAGGGAAGAGAGTAGGTCAGAAACACTTTCAAGAAGGGGGAAGTCTACAGTTCACACCCAACCAAGGCTTAGGTTCCTCCCCAATACCCCACATGGACAGTATCAGTGGGATCCTGAGAAGGCAAATCAACAGGGTTTAGGGACATAGTATGGAGGGCAGCACGGAGAGAAACAGAGACAGAATCAGGCTTCTCTAGGAGGAATGTGTCTAGACTGAGGTTGGGAGTAAAGAGCGGTCTCTGGAGTTGATTAATAGAAAGGACTGAGATTGCTTTGGGGGGGCTCTGACAGGGATAGGGATTAGAAGGGCTGACTGGAGGGTGATGCTCTATGAGATCTCTGAGTTGGAAGCCATTGTCTCCTCCGCCAGAGGAGCAGAGTCAGCAGTGGTGGGGCCTGTGTCAACAGGAGGGCCACATCAGTAAGTACCTCTGGGGGAAAGAAAAGGGTGGGTACTAGAGAGAGAACTGGAAGGACTTTGGCCTCAGGAGAGAAGTTGAGGAGTCAAGCACTCTCTCTACTCCATAACTAAGCAGGGCAGGCAGATGGTGCTCTCTTTGAGGACAGAGAATATGGTCTCTTCATTTCTATACCCTTAGTGCCTAGCACCAGGCCTGGAACACAGTTAACATATGCTTGTTGAATAAATGAGGAAGAAAATGCATGAATGAGGGTGAAGACAAAAATGGTACATGCTCTACCTTTTCCTCTTTCTCTCCACATAATCAAAATAACTGGCACCAGTACAAGGACACTGAGCAGGAGGAATACGCACAGGAGGCTCAGGAAAATGGTGGAATCTAGGTTATCAACAGCACCTTTAAAGAGAGAATAGGTGGAGGCACAGGGAAGAAAGAGTCAGCTAGGGAAAATGATCCAACTTATGGAGTAACTGCCACATTCCTCCCAGTCTGGTGACTTCCCAAGGCCTCCAATTTTCACACCAGGTTGTTCCCATGGAAACCAGGAACTGAAGAAGGTATAGGTCCTAAGACCAGAGCCTCCTGAAGGAAGAGGAGAGACAGTCACCTTCACAGAACTTCCAGGCATAGATGGGATTTGAAGAGTTGCTGCTGATGGGGTTCCTGGCCATGCAGATAAAGGCCGTATCATTTTCCCCCAGCCTCCAGGATATGGGGAGGATGGAGCCATTACGGAACTCATTGGTTGCCTGCCCCAGGGCCTTCCAGCTGTAAGTCACGTCTTCTCCTCCCTGTTCCATGAAGCATGTCAGATTGGTCACACAGGTGCCATTCTTATTGTACTGCAGACCCATGATGACTTTGGGCTTTGATAGGTGCTCTGCAAAAGAGAAATGGGCAATCAAGGGTGGAAACTGTGCCTATAGCCCTTCCTTTTTTGAATTATTCTTGTAAACCTTGGACCTGAATATCTTCAAAGTGCAAAAGAGTGGAGAGGAAGCAGCAATTCAGAGCAGAATTCTCATTCTTATCTGAGAAAGAGAACTATCTTGGTCAGCTTGCCCATTGCTATACAACAACAACAATAGTAATATTATAGAAATAATAACAATCCAACAAGAATGCAGCTGTCATTTACTAATACAGCCATATGGCAAGCATTGTGTTAAATGCATTTTATTTTTAATTAATTAATTTCAGTTACAGTTGACATTCAATATTATTTTATGTTAAATGCACTTTAGATGTCAGCTAATTTTAGCTTTTTTATAGAGACTCCCTATTCCCCTATTTTTAGGCTTCTTTGAAGAGACTTTCACTTTACTCTTCTGGAGAAATAACACTACTGGCCTCTCTCTCTACTTTGTGCTCACGCCTTTCCCTCAGAGGATGATTAATTTGTTCATTGCTAATATGGTGAGAGTCTGGAATCTATTATCTACATTTCTCTACTTGTGGGTTTGAGCTGTTAAGATTGCTGCTAAATGTGGTCTGCCCCTTTTTCCCCTCCCCTAGCTAGTTTGCCCACAGAATGCATGTCTTCTGTTTCCTTCAACTATGTATATATGGAAGACACACGTGTCCATGATTTTGCAGCTCAGTAAGTGAGGCAGTTATTATTATAGTTGGCAAATTGTTTTGTAAGTTCATCTTTGTTTTTCTTTTTTTTAAGATTTTATTGGGGAATTGGGGGAGGGAACAGCATTGGGGAATCGAGGAAGGGGAACAGACAAGTTGCTGTCTTTTTGTTCTTCAGTTTAGTTGTGGAGGACGTCGCTTCACTGGCCCATGTTGGTATTGTGATCGTCGCGCTCTTCCCAGCTAAGGCAGATTGGTCGCTGGCCATTGGACCGCCGCTCACAGCGGCTCACAGCAGCTCATCTCAGCTGCCAGCCACTCATGGTAGCTTAAGGCAGCTCACTGCAGCCCCACTGCAGCCTTTGCCATTGCCAGTGACTCAGGGCAGCCAAGCTCCAGGTCGAGCTGTTGTTCACAATCTTAGCTGTAGAGGGCACAGCGTCACTGGCCCATGTGGGATCTGAACCAGCGGCCCTGCTGCTCAGAGCTCGCGCTCCCAAGCCAACTCTTAACCAACAAGCCACTCAGCCGGCCCCAGTTCATCTTTCTTGAATGGGCTCTAAGGTCTAGACTTAGGGAAAAATATTTCTGTTATCTAGCTTTACCAGTAAAGAAATAAAGCTATTTTTATCTCCTTCTGATTCTTGTGTCTATTTCTCAACTGGTTGGAATCTGTAGGGGAAGAATTGTAAGTGATGTTTATACCCGATAATCTTTCTAAGATAGTTATCACTTTCCAACCCATTACAGATATGAAAACTAGTTTCAAAGTAATTTGGTTAAGGCCATGCAACTACTAAGTAGAGAAGTCAGCGTTTGACCTGTGTGATTGCCACTTCTCATTTTGCCCATCTGCTGCACCACACTGCCTCTTGCAGAATCTCTGCATAGGAAAGAAACTTGGGGGTCAGCTACAGCTATTTCATCCATGCAGGACTTCTCTCTTCCATTCTTAGCAAGTGTTTATCCTGCCTTTGCTTGAATATCTCCAATATCAAGGAGTTTACCACTTTATCAAGGCAGTGATCCACCTTTGGAACCGTTTCTACTCACCATAGACATGCAGCTCATATTCCTGGATGAAGGGAGCCTGCAGGGACGAGCTGTATATCTCCACACGATAGGCACCTGAGTCACTCTTATTCAGTTTGCTGAGCTCCAGGGAGTAGTTTCCATGTGAGAAGTCCACCCTTTTCTTGTTATGATTTTGAATCACTATGACATTGTCTTGTCTGTCTGCCGTTTTTGGTTGTATGGTAACAAGAGTAGTTGTGTTAAAGATCCAGACAATGCTGTCAATCTGATTTACTGAGTGTGTCAGAGGGAAAGTCACAGACCCACCAACGGCACCAACCAGCTCCTTGAGGGTTCCAGAGATTGCTGGCCCTACAGACACAGAGAAACATAAAATAAATGTTGATCCCTGCCCTTTAGACCAATTACTCTTCCCCTTTGGGTTCTGGGAAGGTCCCAAGAGACCCTCTCATTCTAACCCAAAGAGCCCCTAGGAAACCCTTTGGAACTTCACTCACATGAGGCCATTGAGGTCAGAACTCTTGCCTGAAAGGGGTGACTGAATGTGAATCCACCCCATTCCTAGAGGCCTCTGGCTTAAAAGACCAAACTCTGAGGTCACCCACAAGACCCAGCTCCATCCTTGACAAGTTCCTGCAGGGGGACAAGTGGGGAGATTACTTTCCAAGCCCTGCTTAGGACACTCCCACCCCATTGCTCCTAGGAGAGCTGATTTTGATGCAGAAGGAGGAGCAGCCTGATTGACATGTGGGCAATTGTTCCCAAGCACAGATCAGGACATTGGGAGGTAAGCTGTTAAGTTCCTACTGATAGTGATAGCTTAGAAGTTTAAGGATAATTTTTCTATTTTATGATAGAGTGGATTTAAGAATCCTGATTCTCTTTTTATGTCCTTTGGTGACCTTCCCTCAAGCATAAGCTACTCTCCCAGTGCTCCAGAGTAAGAGAATCTGATGCTACCAAGTGTTGTCCTAGTCCCTTGGTTACAGGTCTGGGATCTTGACCAACTCTTTCACTAAATTGATCTCCAAAAATAAATCCCTTTTAGGAGCTGGTTCCTGCTTTAAAAACATTTTTCTCCCTATAATTATCAGTGAGTGCATACATTCTTTCGATCCCTCAGGGCTTTATCAAATCATCTTATTAAGTAATCTGATTTTTCAAAAAACTGTTCTCCCTGCTCCCCTAATACTAAGGCAGGTTTTTTCATCATCCTCTTTGATCATCTCAAGGGATGTCAAAATAATCCCAGTAAATGTTACAGACAAAATCAATTTTATTTTGAATTTTTGATGGATTAGTTAATGAATTCATTCACTCACTTTAACAACAGAAATGGAAGGAGTTAAAATTTTGCAGTCAAATAAAGGTTGAATATCACTTGCCTTCAAGTAGGTGTGATACCTGAATGTAGGGCATCTTAGGGTAATTTCATTTTCACATTTTAGGGGATATTTAAGTTAGGGAGGTGAGAAAAGGATGTGGCTTAACATGTATGCATGCATTTACTTTATTTTTTTTTTATGCATTCATTTAAACCGTGAAAAATTATTTTTTTTCACATCACACATCTGGTGATATATTCGCAGGATAAATGTCAAGAGATGTGAATTGTGTGGTGATATAAGAAAATGTCTTCAAATTTAGAGTTTCTTGTTAGAATGAAGTTGGAGGATGACACAGTGCAAGGGCCGGCCGAGTGGCTCAGTTGGTTAAGAGCTCGCTCAAGAGTTTGAGCTCTGAGCAACAGCGGTTTGAGTCCAGCCCAAGCTGAGCAGCCGCTGAGCTGCCAACAGGTAGCAGGATGGCTCAGCTTAAAAAACAAACAAACAAACAAACAAAAACTGAGAGGATGACACAGTGCAAATTGCTTACATGTGTCTAGATGGAGTATATTCTACCTTATTTGTAGCTTCAGGGTGGCAAAAGCAGACATACAGGAAGAAAGTAGTTTCATGTCAATCCCTAAATGTGAGTTAGAGGATAGGGGGCAGGGTTGGTGAGTCCCAACCAGTTTTTTTTCCTCTTTCCAGATGACTATGAAACAAGAGACTTCTCAATTCTCAGCTGTCCAAGGCAGAGAATTTCTTTGGAACCTCTCCTTTCTGTGATGGCTTCTCCACATGCAAATGTGACCCTATAGAGTTTTACCATGTTTAGGTATGTTATGCTTTTCTCATTCTGTCATTCCTTCCTTTAAAAACTTTTATTTAGTTTCACATTTGTGCCAGGCACTGTTTAGGAGCTGAGCATATAACTGGGGAGCAAGACAGTCATGATCTTTGCACTCATGGGGTTGGGAGATTGTCATGAAATAAGTAACTACATGTATGATAAAAAGGAGAGTAACAGGTACTTGGGCAATGCACAATGGGGAGACTTAAAATGATGTGTGGGGTCAAATGATTGTAGAGAATTAGTGGCTACTAACAATGCCTATCTACAAGACCTGGGAAGATTTGGCCCTATGACACTCATCTACCAACCCTCCTATCTAGATCAGTGCAGTGAATTGTGTAACTGACACCCCTGCATCCATTTCACTCCTTCCTTGTTTTGTAGTAGCCAGGTGGTTTGGGTAAGACATCCAGCTCAGGTGGTAGCCTTCCTCTGGCATAATAATTAGTTCAGAGATATCACATGACCTGGGTTGATTGTGTCTGAGAGAAGCCCAGAACTTTTGCTCCAAGGTTGGAGTGACCATCTGATGCTGTGGGAAGATATGAAGCCCAGGATGCCATCCACTTACTACCACCAGACAAGCAGCCAGCCCTCTTCTCTTCCCTTGCCTGATCCCATTGACTTTCTACCTTAAAGCTTTTGTTTGTGCTTTCTCCTTCTCTCTGTTCATCTAAATCTTATTCAGGACCCATAAAGCCTAGTTCAGAGCCCTTCCCTGAGGAAGCCTCTAACTCTATCTCACATGCTCCCCCTGAATATCTATCAGTAATTTATTTTCCACTTAAAATTCTTCAGAAGGAAACATTCCCCTGGGCATACCATTTTGCTGTGAGTTAGCCAATGTCTCTAGGCATTAGGTCCCAGATGACCTGGTGATGGGGTCTGAGGTCCCACCCAGGAAAGGGTGGAGATGGCCTCTTCTCCCAGGCAGTATGGAGTATATGAAAGAGTTAGAGCTCTGGCCTAACTGGGCATCAGGAGAGCTGGGTTTCATTCTGGCTCCTCCATAACAATAACTCCAGCAACAAACACTTGATATTACTCTGTGTTAAAACAAATTTAATGGGCATTCCCTTTCTTGATACGCAAAGCAACTCCATGAGGTAGAGGATAAGTTTCACTTTATAGATGAGGACGCTGAGGCTCCAAGATGCTGAATGACTTTCCCAAGGCCCAAACTGGTAAGTGGCAGAAGTGGAATGAGAAGCTGGCTAGTTTCTGTGTCTCAGAGGCCTGTGTTCTCCCCACTACTGCCTCACTGCTTACCATTTTGAGTTTCAGTGTTCTTAACTCTCACAGGCAAAAAATAACATTTGTTTGCCAGAATTTGGGGGGAGAATGAAGGGTGAATGTGGATATGAAAGCATTTTTAGATGTCCAAAGCTGTCTGTAACATGGTGGGAGGCAGGTTAGAGAGTAGTGTTATAAGCAACAGACCTTGAGAAAGCTTCCCATTTTTTGGTTTTATTTTCACTAGGATGGCTAAAATAGGGAAACAGGGATTTTCTAAAACTTCTTTGGGTGGTTTCTTGGTAAGTTGAGCTTCTCTGAAGGTGGTTTGGAACCTAATGCCTACAGACCAGTAATTGGCTACTTCATAGCAGAACAGTAAGTCCGATCACCACGCAGGGGAATGTCTCCTGCGGCAAACATTCCCCAACTACTTGCCTTTGGAAATTAAGGGAGCTGGGGGCAGAAGACGCTTTGCTTTATGCCCTGGCTAAGACATAAATATTTTTGGTTTCAGGGGAGTAACCCTAAAGTTCCCTCCCAAACCAGAAAGGGAAATAGCTTCCTTCCAAAAGCCCGCCCCCCACCCCACCCTGCCAACCCCTTCGCCACTTCCCTTTACTCTGGTTGTAACCTCCACTCCTTAACCTGTTCCCCCAAGGTTGAAGAGTTGAGTGGAGGGAGGGAGCTAAATTAGGAGAAAGGGGAATCACCAGTACAGCCAGAATCAAGGAATGGTGACCCAGGAGAAAGACTTCAAGCTAGGAGAGGCTGTAAAGCCCACCTTCCGTTTACCATCCCAGTCCCCAAGCACCTTTCCCAGTAGTCAGTGTCTCCATCAGAAAGCACCAGTGTGTCATGGCACCATCCTCATGGAAGCCAAGGACCAGAACATCTCAGAGCTGGGAGGAATCTTAGGGACTAGTTAGTTCAATCCATTTCACAAATGAGGAGACTCATGCTCCAAGGGTTACAATGACATGTCCCAAGTCACTGGAAGGCCAGGATTAAGAACCAGGGCTCCTAAGGAAGGCAGGGGTCCCAAGCTGTGCCCCCTGTCACCCTTGAGGTCTGAGTCACTGCGGCAGTATATTTCTGAGGAGCTTAAAGGAAGGCCTAGGGGGCGGGGTTAGGGTTAGATGGAGCAGGCAGTGGTGGGCAGAGCCTACACAACGCCACCCCCTTTCCCCTGCCAATCAGGAATGTTTCAGTTCTATGTATTAGAGTCATTTACTTGTTTGTTTCTGTGTAAGATTAAATTTCATTAAAGGAAACTACTGCTTAAAAAAGAAAAATAAAAAGATTTTGGAAACGGCTACTCTTTACCTAACTTCTCCCTAACACATGTACCCTGGAAAGAGCATTTTAAGTCAGTGCCATGTACAGATGCCGCTTGACTTATGATACGGTTATGTCCTAATAAACCCATCATAAGTTGAAAATATCAGTAAGTAAAAAATGCATGTACTATATCTACCCTACTGAACATCAGAGCTTAGCCTAGCCTACTTTAAACATGCTCAGAACACTTATATTAGCCTACAATTGGGCAATAATCTTGAGTTTCATCTCAAGATATTTTATCTCAGGAGTAATTGCCTTTCTCTTGTTCTCACCAGAAACAATAAACATAGGGGGGTGTTTTGTAGACACAATGGGATACAAAAATGCAAAACACAATATCCAGAAAAACACTGTCAACACAGTACACTGTAGATTATTGGTTGTTGACCCTGTGATCACATGACTGACTGGGAGCTGCAGCTCGCTGCTGCTACCTAGCATCACCAGAGAGTATCACACTGCATATCATTAGCCAGGGAAAGGATCAAAATTTAAAATTCAAAATACAGTTTCTACTGATGCACATCATAAGGTCAGAAAACAGCAAGTTCAGCCATTGTAAGTCAGGAGCCATCTGTATATGAAGCAGAGGCTTGCAAACCTCCCAACTCACCTTCCACCTTTGCCACCTCTCCAACCCTAACCCGAAACATTCACATTCAAGCTCCCTACTGCTCTGACCCTGACTCATCTCCTGCCCCCTCCTTCTTGTATCTTCTGGTCCTTTCCAACAGCTCCCCAACCTCTGCCCTCACTTTTCCTGTTTTCCTTTTGTTTCATGTCTCCTCAACACTCCTGTATCATCTACTCATCACAAAATCTGAGATGGGGACAAAACACGGTGCCATTTTCCAGATGAGAATACTGAGGCCGCAGAGCTGCACCTTAGCCCCTCTGAATTTGACCAGAGTAGGTCCCTGTTGGTGCACTCACATTCTGGAAATAGAATTACCTGCTTTTCTTGGGCATTTCCAGTCCCTATCTTGGCCTCATGTACCTGGAGGGGGAAGGAATCACAACTAGTTCTCCTGGGAAGAGTCAGTTCGAATACACATTTATTGAACACTTCTCTGGTGTCAGCTACAGTGTTATGCAGGTTGGTGTGATGAGAAGAGCACCAGCTTTGGAAACTCAGTCTCTGCTCGCTCTCTCTCTCTCTCGCTCTCTCTCTCTCTCTCTCTCTCTCTCTCCCTCTCTCTCTCCCTTCTCTCTCTCTTTATTAGCTGTATAATCTTGCCCAAGACATTTGACTTTTCTGAGCCTGAGTTTCCTCATCTGTAAATTGAGGATAATAATATCTATCTTATAGACAGGTGAGATGATTTTATGAAAAATGTCTCAGAACTAGGAGGACCTTAATAAATAGTGATTATTATTATTATAATTTTTTTGCATTTGATATCTCATTTAAAGCACTACATTGATTTTGCAAGCTAAGGTTCATTTTCCATTATGTACTTGTGAAAACCAAGGTTCAGACATGAGTAACTTATCCACAGAATTTAGCTACTAAGTCAAACCCAGGAGTAGTTGTCCAGGGCCAGCATTGCTTCCACTGTCCTGCACACTGGAGACTGTAAGGCAATATTGGACTCTTTTCAGCCATGGAAGTGTACCACACAGGCTGTCCACTGTCTCCTGGAGCACAGCACACACTTATACCCTGCTGCCCACAGTTCAGGTTTTGGGCGAGCACCTGCCATGTCCTCCCCCACCTCACCTTTTCCAAGTTCCACTTTTAATCACCATTTATGGTTTTCAAAGTGAAAGCCTATTTTAGGACCACATGCTTAGAACCAGGTGTTTCCTAAAACTGCCAACCTCTAACGAACTCAAGGAGGATGAGAGTCTGCTGATGCTGAACATGTGGTGGGGACAGGTTGGGGTAAGAAAGGACTGGGAGTGCTGACTGCCTGTGTAGTCTTGGGCAGGTTACTTCAAGCAGGCCTGGGGCACACATAAATGAACCAGCTATGCCAAATCCTCAGAGGCAGACCTCATGGAGGTACCCCACAAGTTTGATGACTGGATATATACTCCTAACTTATGGAGCTCCTGGTCCTTTCTGAAAGCCCTGAGGATAGTAAAATGTTCAAAGACTAGAATATCTGTGACAGATATTCTAAAAATATGGAAAAAGCCCCCAGTCATTTATGGCATTAAACATAAAGTGCTGACAATATGAGTTTGTTTTCTACATAGAGACTGATTGGATTGCTTGGGTTAAGAGATAAAATTCAAATATTTCCTTTCATCAATATAGTTGTTATATATAATCATTTAAACATATATTTCTAAATATAATTTAAAATATATTTCTAAATAGAAAATGTATAAGTACATTATAAATATATTTAAAGAAAATATTATTAATATTTATGAAAATAATAAACACACTTGTATGAGCTCATTTTCCTTTCTCAAAAAGGAGGAATGCTAACGTCCAGGGAAGATGACATTCGTCATCTAATTTGTGGCAGAATCTGGATTAGAACACAGGTCATCCTGATGCCAACACCACTTATTTCAGCCCTTCTTTCCCTAGGACAGTCAGAAGGACCATCGGTCCCCAGAGTCATTCCTTCTCCTCTCTTTCTAGTCTCTTTCTGCCCTCTGTGATTCAGAGACCACAGGATATAAAAAGCAATATTAGACAAAGGAAAAGAGACTCCAGAATGGACCCAGAACCTGGAAATACACCTCATGATGGGGAAGGCAGTCAAAAGAGCAGGAGGATCTGGGTAGACTCACCTGTGAGCTGGCAGAGGAGAAAAATGAGGATGAAGCAAGCTGGGGAACCAGGCATATTGTTCAGTTGTTAAAATGAACCTACTTCCCTCTTACCCGACTGGGGTTTTAAGAAGTAGGAGGGGTCATGAGAATGACATGTGAGACTGTGTCATATCTGCTTTCCCCAGTTAATACATAGTAGCATTCAATAAGGAACAGAAACATGAATTGAATCCCAAAGGTGATGGAATCCCCATTTGACAGATAAAGAATCATGGGCTCAGAGAAGCTAAAAATTGATTAAGGCCATATGGTCAGCCTTTTTTTGCTATACTATATGACCTATTAGAGATTCAGAACAGAGAAAATGGAAAGAAACAGAAAGTACGATATGGGACAAAAGGATGGCACTGGGGATAATAACAATATTTATTGAAGTTTTTTTTTGACAGCTAACACATTTATTGCATATATATTGAAAATACAATTCTATTATAAACACTTTTTTGAGTAAAAAAGGCACAAAGACAAGAAAAACAGTTTCTTCACTAAAGTTCACAAGCTTATAAAGAAGATTGAAAAATAAACAATTAGAATGCAATGTGATAATATATGCAAATAGTACTAAGTAGACCCAAAAGAGAATAATATATACTCATACATAAATATTTGAACAAAAGAGGTGGTGACACTTGAAGGGAATTATTGGGAATCCAGTAAAAGGAAAATGTAGCCATATATTATTTAAAATGTCTTAGTAAACTTTTACTCAAAGGAAACTTTGTTAGTTTGAAAAAGAATATCTACTCAAACACTACAGCAAACAAAAATTTAAGATGATCATTATTATAACACTATATAGCATATTTTTAGAGGATGTAACAAATAAGACATAAAACTATAGACTTTAAAAGGAAAAACAGGGGTTCCAGTCAAGATGGTGGAGTAGGGAAATGCTGTGCTTACCTCCTCTCACAAGCACATCAAAATTACAACTAAACTATAGAACAACAATCATTGAGAATCACCTGAAGTCTAACTGAACAGGAGCCCTATAAGGACATACAGAAGAAGCCACATCAAGACTGGTAGGAGGGATGAGACGTGGAATGGGCTGTCCCCACACCCACATGTGGCAGTTAAAAATTAGGAGGGCTATCTCAACTGTAGAGGTCTTCCCTGAGGAGCGAAGGGTCCCAGTCCCACACCAGGCTCCCCAGCCCAGGGCTCCAGTGCCAGGAAGAGAAATCCTCATAACTTATGGTTGTGAAGACCAGTGGAGATTGTGGCTGAGATGGAGGGTGGCTGGAGTCCCAGGCAATCTTCTTAAAGTGCCTACACATGGACTTACTCGCTGATGGACTCACTCACTCTGAACTCCAACTTTGGGGCAGCAGCTCTAAAGTTGCCGGGGACATATGGAGAGGAACTGAATTGTCTGGCTTCAGGGCAAGGGCTGGAGGGGCAGCTTTCTCCCAGACAGAAGTGCTGGTAGAAGCCATTGTTCCTTTGTTGAGCCTTCCCCCAACCCAGCATGTAGGCACAGGTAGGCACCATATCTGAATCTATTGAGCTTTTCTAAGTACCAGGAGCACATGCATTCTTTTATTTCTCATAACAACCCAATGAGTGAGATACTATCATAATCCGTCTTAACGGCACCATTAGTTGAAAAGGACTATCCTTCCTGTATTGAATTACATTTGCACCTTTGTCAAAAATCAGTGGACCATACTTTTATGGGTATATTCTGATGTTATCTATTCTGTTTCATTGATTTATATAATGGAATTATTGATATATTAAAGCTTAAGTCTGGTTCTGGTTTTTTGTTCCTCTGTTTTACTTTCCTGGTCATTCTGTAGGTTATTTGAATATTTTTTTAAAATTCCATTTTGATTTATCTATAGTGTATCTTGAGTGTATCTCTTTGAATAGATTTGTTAAATGATTGTTCTAGGCATTACATTATACATACATAACTTATGGTCTACTGGTATTGACAAATAATCTTATAATTTTTCCTTCAATTGTCAAAAATAAGTTAGAAAACTCAAGAGGAGAATAGTCTATTACATTTACCCATATATTTACTCTTTCCATAGTTCTTTCTTCATTCCTGATTTTCCAAGTTTTCTTTTTTTTTTATCAGTTCTTTGTGTTTCAAAATATTCCTTTAGACATTGTTTTAGGATAGATCCGCTGGTGACAAATCCTGTTCGTTTCCCTTCACCTGAGAATGCCTTGATTTCACCTTCATTTCCTGATTATAGAATTCTAGGTAGACAGTTTTTTTTTCTTTCAGCACTTGAAAAATGTAATGTGTTCCTCCTTATCTCAGTGGTTTCTGATGAGAAATCAGCAGTCATTCAAGTTGTTTTCCCCTGTAGTTAATAGTTAACATGTTGTTTCTCTCTGTTTTCAAGATTTTTTTCTATGTTGTTATTTTTAGCTGGTTGATTATGTATCTTGATATGTATTTATTTGAGTTTCTCCTATTTGGGGTTCATTCAGTTTCTTGAATCTGTAGTTTTATGCCTTTTGCCAAGTTTGGGGAAATTTCAGTACTTCTTTGAATACTTTTCTTCTTATAGTCTCACATTCTTATTTTATCTCCTCTCCTTCCAGAACTCTGGAATGTTAGATTTTCTGTCATTGCCCCATAGAGCCCTAGTCTCTGTTAATTTTTTAAAGCCTACTTGCTCTCCATTGTTCAGAATGGGAATTTTGTATTGTCTATCCTCAAGTACACTGATTCTTTTCTTTATCATCTCCAATTTGCTATTAAGCCCATCAAGTGAGTTTTAATTTTCAGTTATTGCATTATTTAGTTCTAAAATTTCCCTTTAGTTCTTCTTTATATAGTCTATGCTTTTACTTTCTAGTGCTGTTATTTGTTTTGTTTTGTTTCTAGGGTGTTCATAATTACTTGTTGAAGCATTTTAATGATGACTGCTTTAAAATCCAACACGTGTAATCTTGGTTTTGGTGACTATTAATTGCCCCCTTTTCATTCAAATTGATACATTTCTGGTACTTACTATAACAAGTGATTTTTGACATTGTGGTGATGGATTAGGTGACCTTATTACCACTGGGTGGTTGTGAAAATCCAGACTTTCCACTTGACCTTCCCCAATACTACCCCAAGAAACAAGAGGATGTAGAACCTTATTACTTCTGGTGGGGGTGGGAGTTCAGTCTTCCCACTCAGCCCCTTATGATGCCACCACAGTGGGGAGGGGGAGGAATCCTCCTTACTGCCCAGGGATAGTGAAAGTCTAGGCTTCCCACTTGGTCTTTGCTAATGGGGTGGGACTCCAAATTTTTCCAATGGGGTTTGGTTGGAATAGGGTGAGTGTTGCCTAAAGGTTTTTGTTTTACTTGGCTGTTTCTCTTTGTCTTTTGCCAATACAGAGCAGGCTTTTTGCGGGGAGGAAGGCAGTTAGTATTTCTGGGTTACAGTCTTGTCTAACATGCAGTTTAGGATGTATAAGTGACAAAAAGGAAATCCAAGCAACTAACTGCCATGCCGTTCCTCAGATCTAGAGGTCCCTAAATGGCTTTTATTCTCTTCACTTTTAAGAATCTTCTTATTTTTGTGTTTCATATATTGTTCAGGGGTTTTTAAATCTGTATTTAGTGGGAAAAATAAAGGAAAATGTGCCTACTTCATCTTCTCTGAAATGAGAAATCTGATCATATATTTTTGTATCCATTCTCTCTTCTGACTCCATTTAAATAATGGTGAAATCTTTAAAAAAGACTTCTTGTTAATTGGTGAAATGATTCCAACATGGATATTTCCCTTATCTGACTTGAAAAACACAGTAATGATATATAAAGCATTTTCAAATGTATTAAATTAGATACCTTTGCTCAAAATTAAAACGGCAATTTCTGTGAATGAGAAATTGTGTAGAAGAATACTATCAAAGTCAGGAATAAGAAAATAACTTTTCCAGTCGCTGCTACTATTCATTAATTAACTGTTTTCTTGGCCAAAACAATGAGGCAATAAACACATACATACATACATACATAAGTAAATAAATAAATAGTAAATAAATAAAATGTATGTGGATAGAAAAGGAGAGACAAATTACCATTATTCTTAATCATCTCTCTGTTGACATAGGAAATTCAAAGGAACCTGCAGACAAATTGCAAGAACTAATAAAAGAGTGATCAAGAACCCCAGCAAACAACCATAATTGTTCAAAGACATTGTTCTAACTTGGCTCACAGGTTGACACTTGTTTATTAATCTTGACCTGGTCCAATTAAGAGCCAAAGCGGTATTTACCTCAAAATTACACAGCAGAGGCAGGATAGAAACCCAAATATTATAACTTCAAATTCAGTGATTTTTCCATTATGTACAAATGTGGCAATGGCAGAAATAGCACTTTTGAAATGTTGTGGTTGTGATTCTTGATATTCTTGGAAAACGGAATGAGTTTGGGGAGGTGTTTTTAAAAAACCAACCCAGTGGTGTTATGGGAGCACATGTTTCATTCTAATTCAAACAATTTTACTTTTGTGCTTCTTGTAATGGCTGTCCTTGTCCTAGAAATGACCAAGTCAAGGTTTCTGGGAAGATATGCAAAGAAGTCTAGATGGAGCAGAATGAGATCAGTAAAAAAACCCTGAGGGCACCCCACCAAAAGAGGAAGTAATTGCCTTTGAAAAATAAAACTTATTAGCAGCATTTGTTAGTTAATTATTCCCTCTTTCTTGAGACATTTTGGCTCACAGGTCTCCATTCTCTCTTGGTTGTCTCCTATCCAAGGATTCCCATTTTCTTTTGCTCTGTTGGAAATCTCTCCCATCTATCAATATTGAAAAGTCTCTGGGTTCAGTCCTTAGACTTGCTCATTTCTTTATCCCAATTCCTTAGTTGATATCATTCAGTCTCTTGGTTAGAAATACCTAATTTTTTTTCCAACCCTGACATCTTTCCTAAATTCCAGTCTTGTATATCCAATGGCCTACTCATTGTCTCCATTTGAATATATAACAAGCATCTAAAACTTCACATGTGGAAAATCAAGCTCATGCTTCCCTACCCTCTACCTCCTTCTCCAACTGTCTTCTTCATCT